ACATCTACTGAATCACCAAAGGGTAACATTGGAAAAGTGAGAAACCAGGCAAAAGATTTTTTTTCCTGACAGCGTTCGAGACTTTGACCCAGAGCCAAACTTTCATGCTCCAATTTGCCACAGTGCGTTTCACATAATGACACACAGCGACAGCCCATTGCCATTTAATATCACTGTTTTGAGATTATTCTCCTCTAATACTTCTTTTCTTTCTGAAACATTGTGTGTTGGGTTGTTTTGGGGCTTTTTTGTGGGTGTTTTGGTTTTTTTTTTGTTTTTTGCCATTTGCAATAGCTTTCTTTTGCCAAGCCAGAACAGACTGGGCAACTTGTTAGGTCATTTTTGTGGGTGTTTGTTCAGGGGGATACTAGATAATTGTTAATGCAAACACCACTGAATAAACAAACAGAAGCCCAAGAAAATTCATTCAGTTAATAGTGCCTTCTGAATCACTGACTATGGAAAAATTGTTGTTTATAGAGTGAATCATTAATTTGGCTTGCATATGAGATAGGCTTGCCACTAAAATAATAAATTATGACTGGCAGATAAATACCATACTTGTTTTAACCAGGGTAAAATGAACAAAACATTAAAAACCATGTTAGTTAGTAATTGCCAACTTCAATTCTTTTGAAGCATGAGCTTTGCTAAAAGCTGGACATTTTGTTAAAGACCTTTGTCAGGTAATTATTTTCCTCCCTGCCAAAGAACTGCACAGGTTTGCTGATTCCAAAGTTCATCTCAGTCCTTGCACTGTCAGGTAGATTGAGGTACATACAGCTTAGGGTCCTCCACCTTCTGGAACATCCTTCTTCTTGCATTAATTTATTAAAACTATAATTCTCTGCGATAGATATATAGATCTCCCTTCATGTATTGAACTTTGTGAGGAGGTATGAGGAAGTGCTTGAATCTAGAGACTGTCTGTTGCCAACTCAATGAGAAATTTTTCAACAAATGAGTCCATTATGTAAATTACTAAAAATCATTATTCTAACTGAACATAAGTAACTCAGTGGTCAAACAAAATATTATTCAAGTGTTCTGGAAACCAATAACTGAATGAGAGTTTATTAATCTGCAGTTACTCATCTGCTCCTTTGATTTACTGTGGTATCTGCATGCCTCTGACCACTCTCTAGTACCAAACACCTTGTGGCAAACTGGATGGAATGAATTTGGATTTGAAGTAATGTGTCTCTTTTTTTCCAGAAATGTTTTTATTTCCTGTAAAGCACAAAGGACTATTTTCCCTATTTATAATAGAGAAGGTTTAGGGTTTAATTTTAATTATTGCTAAAAAAAGGTCTTGCAGACTTACAATGTCTGTATGTTTAATTTTATACTACACATAAATACAACAGATATGGTTTTCTTCAGACATTTTTACAATAACGAGTCCAAAATATTTTGGCAAGAATAGAGGCAGAAGGACTTCAAAAGGCAAACATTAGTAGTAGGCTATTATCATAAGTAGTTGCTGGTCTGTGATTTCTGCCTTTGAAATATGGTTTTAGTCTCTTTCCCCATTAGCAGTTCAGACATTTCTCAGACAATAAGAATTTCTTGTGATTTTTCTCCATCGATTAAGACATAGGCAAGTGATATGCAGTGATATCATATGCTAAATAAAATTACATTTGAAAATGCATAATTCCTACAGTTATTTGTGCATACAGTATTGTATTCTTACTTGTGCTACTGACCTTGAGAATGAATTGTTTCATACTGTCAGTAGTATTTAATTTGGCTTGTGGTACTTCCTACACTCTGCAAAGTGTCTCTTCTTGATGTTGTGCACATAAAAAAAAATTCTTTTTGTTTGTTATCTTATTTCATAATTGTATACTGGAATGTTCAGTCACCGAATTACTTTGTGAAATTACATCTATTATACCACTGGAATATGACCTGATTTATTATAAGAAGATCAGAGCATAGCTCAAGTGCTCAGTGCATTATCCTAAATGAAGCTCTGTCTCTGAGGGCTGCCCCTCATCTTTGCCGTTATGTTTTAGCCATTGATTTCCCTTTAGAACACAAATGCCATAAAAATACTGCTTGGTAAATGTTTCTTCAGTATTGAATAACTGCTTTTTCTGCCAAGGAGGTGTCAAAGTCTCTTCCCAACCTGTCTGTCACACACTGTTCCTTTTACATGCATCAGCAGAGGTCAGCTAAATAGGTCTGATAACTCAGTTTTAGGGAGATGCAGATTGCAAGGCAGGATGAAAGGATGGCAGGTAACTTTTCAAAGCTTGCTTGTTTACATTTCTTTGATTGCAGTGGTTCCCCTTTGGAGAGAGGCATGCTGCCTTTGGAGCCTTCATTTCTCTTTGAGTGATATGGGCTGTTCAAGCCTCCCTCCGTGCCTGCAAACCAGGTTCTGTCCTGGAGCTGTCTCCTCTGCATCTCCTCAATTCAAAGGCACAGGCAGCTCCTTTCTCACATTCTGAAGCACAGTTTGTCCAAAGCAACCTAATGGTGGGGAGGGGCAAAAAAAAAAATTATCTAGGCTGAAGGAAGCTCCTATGAGAGCTAGAAAGTTGCTCAGGTGAAAGTGGCTGTGATTTGGAGATGTGGTTGCAGAGATTAGCCAGAAGCTTATCACGGATATCTGTAAGCAATGGGTTTCACAGTTTATCATTTTACAATTATTTTTTTTTTGCAATTACTTAGGTTTATATTTCCTGCCTTTTTTCATGTGCTACAGGAGGAGACAGTTAGTAATCATTGGGGCTTTTACCAGCATAAGATATAACATTTCTGCATGATGCATGATATGTATTCCTGTAATTTAATTATCTAGAGTGTTTATTTGGGGGAAACAATGACATTTCTGAGATTATTTATGAGGTACTGCACTTTGTAATCAAACCTTCTGTGTGCTGTTTGTAAAACATCAAGTGTTATAAAATTTCTGGTAGTTGGAAAAAAGAACATTGATAATGGGCTGACATTCGCTGTGCAGCTGCAGATGAGAATCAGCAGGAAATAGAGAGAAGCAGAAGCGTGGCAGCTGTATTGAGAAGATTAGTTACTGAGATGTTGCCTGCCTGAGAAATACATAAACTCTCTGCAAGGAATTTTATTTTGTGTTGAGAATGGTGTAGCTCCAGCTTTACATTTTAGACAATATTTTAGTAGTAAGAATTTTCTTTCTCATATTTGTGATAATACAAATATGTCTGAATTAAGTAAAAAAATGCATAATGCCTAAAAAAACAAGAATAAAAAAGTAGTCATACTGAGTTACAGAAATGAACAGGGTTAGATAAGGCTTAGATCAAAGAGTAGCTAAAAGAGAATGAAAATGGAATTGACTGTGGAACCAAAGTTGCCCAAACCCAAACTTTGAAGAACTTTTATTAATAAGGCAGAACATAACAGAATAAACTTTTGACTGCAGTAGGAATTAGTGACCTGCCATGACCAGGGCCCAAGGAAGGAGAGCACTGTGCATTACTTCAGTTTATGTTTGAAAGATACATGCTCTTATAGTTCCGGAAGGATAAGAAGTCCTCAGAATATTTGGCTAAGGTGAGTAAAGTCTCTTTTCGACTTCAGTTTATTCAGCTGCAAAAAGAGTTCATAAAGATTACAAGGAAACATACTTTGTAACACAATGACTGACCCACCAGAGAGAAAATCTTTGAAACAGTAATAGTGACCTTGATTTTATGAGTATTTTTGATAGCAAAATTACAGATACAGTTTGTTATTGGATCTTGCAGCTCATGGAAAGCTGATAAGGAAGGAATGATGATGGGTCATTTTCAAATTTCTGAGTTGTAACCTAGCCAACCTAGGCTATCTCTGCTAGAAATTAGTCTAGAGAACAGGCTGTGAACCAGGCAGAGCTCAATAAATAGAGAACATTAACCTCATATGTGTGCTGTTCAATAAAACTGCATTCAGGCCAGCAAAATAAATAAAGAGACTAAATGAAAATATTTTATAATTATTAAGAGGCTTAATTGTAACTATTAGGTTTTAAATTTTTGTACTACGTGAGGAATTTTGAATTTTATTTTAAACGTAGGCTAAGAGTGCAAATTTTGTGTTGGAAATTTGAGTACTATACCTATACAAGTAATGGCAAACACATTATTAATGAAAAACAGCAATAAAATACTTGGTGGAGAGAATATTGTCACGGGATTTTTTTTTTTTCTGCAGGGATTGAATTAAACTGCTGTTTTGCCCAGGACTGTTTTGTGTTTCCTGAAAATGTTACTGTCTGATGCATGAGTTTCTATTGCAGACCCAGCAGCAGGACACTGTTCGTAGCCTCTGCTAACACACTGTTCCAGTGGCTTCAGCACATAAATAAATGAATGCATAAGTGTGCATGGTAATGAATACACTTTAAGTAAAGGCCAGGCAAAGTAATAATCGCAGGATTTGGTGTGACATTTTGCCAGCACTCACACGTATTCCTGACTTTTCTAACATTTGTTTTTCAACTCATAAATATTTCTGGAGAGTAAGCACACTGTTAAATGACAGCAGTTTCTGTGGAGAGATTAGGTACATTAATAAAATATGAGACAAAAGGTACTGGTGAATGATGGTTTTTAATTAGAGGAGAAAAGAAAAAAAAAAGGTTTTTTTTTTAAAAGAGAAATACTTGTCTTTATTTTTGTTATTTTTGAGTATACTCTTACTTAAGAAACAAAAATTGGAATACACACAAGGGAAGAAATTTACACTTGCAATAAGAAAAGTATGTTTGAATGTCCTGTGAAAGGGAGGAGGTGACGGGAACACAAGCATTCCCTTGATTATATTCAATGAAACCAGGTTGTGTACTTTATAAGAACAGGAAGAACTTCTAACATCTTCCTAATCCTGTTGCAACTTTGATCATTTCTGCTTTTAAGCAATGGCTATAACTGGATCTAGCAAAGAGAAGTGCAATGGCTCATCTCAGCCAGATGATTTTTATGTTTTACTATGTCTTTTTCATTCTAATCAAATCTTTCTCTTCATTTTAGACAAATATCACTTGCTGTGTCATAGCACATGGATTTCAGGACCACCTGTGAAGAGGTAGGATCAGATTTTTTTCAAATAGTAGAATGAAAATCAATGAACTTTTAATCCTTTTTATATGCAACATACTTTCTCCATCCCCCCCACTTTTCTTTTCTTCACCTGAAGTTTTAGGAATTATATAGTAAAATATAAGTTATTCAGCTGATCATTTCATGGTGGCAGATGGACTTTGTAATAGAAGATGAAAGAATTTGCACAACTGTATTCATCACTAGACCTCACCTCTGTTCCCATTTACCTCTTTAGACACAATGTAGGTGCAGGCAGCTACATTTTGTGTGAGCTTTGCCCTTCTTGAAATTGTTTATGTCTGAAAGCCTGTACATGAAGAAAAAGTCAGTGGAGTCGGGAATCTGTCTGGTGCTGCCCAGCAGAATCAAGGGGGAAATGTAGAAGTATGGGAGAAAAGTGGGTAGGGAGAAGGGAAGCTGTGGAGATGACCAAAATGGAAAGCAATTCCATTCAGATTTAGTGAGGTAAGAAAGTAATTTTTGCCTAGAATTAGTTTCATAATAGCAATGGAAAGTACTTCAGTCCCCCTCCACTAGAGATGAGGGAAGGGCTTTCTGTGTTTATACTAATTTGTCTATAAGAAATCAAATAAAATGTATTTGTAGACATTAGCAAGGGCATCTTATTTACTCAGAGATTGTCTATGTACAATTGTTTTAATATGATTTTAACTACTTCAGCAATTGAGACACAGTGAGAACCATTTACAGAAAATTATGTAATGATTTAAATGCATTATTGTAATTTAAAAATCATGACAATTACCTGTACACTGAAAACCACAAACAGCATTTAGGAAGGTAGGACTGGAAACAAGAAAACTTGCTAGAACTTTTAAGTGTGACCATGATCCCATGAAAAAATAGAAGTGAAGGGATTGGAACAGCACTAAAATCAAGAACTAACTGCAGCTATAGCCAATTGTGAGTTGAGAATCAGAATAAATTAGGGGAGAAGAAAAAATAAGCAGACTAAAGAACACTGAATCATGACAGCATTCTGAAATGAGTAGTAGGGTCAAAAAGTAATATTAAAATGAGCCCTGCATTTGGGAAAGAATACTGTGATGTTTTTCCAGGATGGTATATATATCAGGCTGTAATAACTCAGAAGATGCATGCACAGTGTAAATTCTATAGCAATATATCCCAGATTATTTACATGGAAGAAAGTATACTTACTAGTCTTGAGGTTTGTCTTTTCAAATAAAGTATTTTCAGTTGGAAGGAGCCTTCAATGATCATGTAGTCCTGCTTCCTAACTCCTTCATGGCTGATCAAGAGTTAAAGCATGTTATTAGGGTGTTTTTGTTTTATTATTATTATTTCTTTTTGAATGCACTTATTCAGGTAAAGAGGAAGATAAGTATTTTCATGGGTTTTTTTTATGGTGTTATTCTTCAAACTCTACGGACTATTTAGTGACATTTAACTTCACACTGTGTCCAGCGGATGTAATGACAAGAGCAGCCACAGAAAGACAACTTGGCATATGAGTGCCTTTGCAGTGCAAGTGCACTGACAGATTTGTTTCATTCTGTATCTAGTTTCTAATAGGGGCATTGATTTCAAATTCAGCTCTTTAAAAAATCAGCTGATTTGCAGATCTTCCATGATGGACAAGGGAAGGAAAGGATGATTCCACCTATCCTAAAAAAAACCCTCCATAATCTGGAGATCGCAAAGTTACTAAGTTACTAAGAAGTTTTTGATAATGGCAATAAAAGCTTTTCTGAAGCATCTTGGATGTCTGATCTTCCTCTTCCCCTTTTTGTTTCCTTTTGTCTGCACATCCCAGTGTTATAGCCGCTATGCTGCAGAAGAGCTGAAATCATTCTCCCAAACTGATGAATGCAGCTCAGATTCTTGTTGCTGCTTCCATCTTTAGTAATGGCAGTAAATGGTTTGAGCTGAGTTTCAGTTAGCATAAAACCAAAATTTTCCACATAGATGCACTGAGGATAAAGCATGTTTTTCATGGTGTCCATGACATATTCAATCTTTTTTTTCCTCAAATGACTTTTCATTCTAATTAACTGCTGCTCTAGTGCACCAGAGGTCTCCGAGGGAACCTTAGTTCTTTCATACTACTGATGTTTTCATGCATCCCTAATTTCTTCTAGTGTCTACTAGTGAGATTTGGTTTGGGATTCGGACACTGAAATAGTCTTGTCTCCTCATAGGCACCTGCATGTGCACTTTATGCCTAAGTTCCTGCAGCAGATCTGATTGGAGCAGTCAGGGTTATTATAATGAGAGGTTAAACAGAGATATGTAGAGAGGTAGAGTTTGTTTCCAGTCTCAAAGTGATTTCTAGCATCTTAATGATTACTTTCTCCCCCAAGCATCTTATCTTCAGGCTATGCTACCTTTCAAGGTATCTTAAAGTAGTTTTTGTCTGCGGGAAAATAATTTCTGTGCTAGACAATTCAAATGGCACTACAAAAAGAGGACATCTTACATACATATACACATTTTTAAGGGAAACTACCTGCTATCTGAAGAGGTGATTTTTTTTTTTTGTGTGGCTTCTCTGCTTGCTACTTGTGGGAGTTTTTCACTGTTTCATATTTCATTATTTAGTATTTCATGCTCTTTTCCCTCACTTTTCAGCAAATACATTAATTTTTTTTGGTTCTTTCGTTTAACAATTTCAAAGCCATAAGACTAGCCAGCTCCTCTTTTACCCTTTATCCTGAGCTTTTTGAACTTTACAAGAGCATAAATCACAGAGTCACTGGGTTCTTAAAATGCTCTCCTGTACTCACTTGACCTTATTCTATATTCTGAAAACTATCTCTTGCAAGATAACCTCAGTCTCTGACATAATACTGTCCTCTGCAGTGAAAGTATTCTTCTGTTGAAACTGAAGACTTTGGATGATTATAATGCATTAGAACATCTTCCCCTATGTTTTTTTTTAAGTTCATATTTTCCATGTATTTTATGAATAAGCTGCATTAGCAGCTTTCTAACTTTTTGAAATCTCATTCTTTACTTCTAATAGCTTGGCTTCTTCCCTGCCCCCAGTATAGCATCAAACTTTTTAAGTTAATAAATACCCCATTCATTCCCTGCTTACACTCTATTCATTTGTTTTCACGGAAGTGTCCATTGTTTCTTTGAAGGATTAATTTGAATTGGTAAACTGTTTGTCCTCTGCTTTATGAGTTCTAGAAATATTCTTCTAGACTTCACAAGCTTCATAATTTGATATGTTCTGTTACTCAAAGGTGTAATGACCTCTATTTCAACATCCATCTAGTTGGGGGGGGGGGGGCTTTCCTGCAACAAAATATGTTTTAAATTTTAAGCCATATTTACCTTCCTTGTGAATTTCTTCCCTAAATATTGTTATATACTTTCATGGTCTTTTTCTAGTCACCTTTATGTCATTTTCTGATTCACACATTTCAGACTAAACTGATGTTTTCCTTTGTTTATAAATCCTGTTAAATAGCAATAGAATAGGTTTCTGGGATTTTTCTTAGATGAAGCTTGAAGTCATGATTTCACCTCAAAATTGCATTGTGGAAAATGACTCACAATTTACAATGTCTGTTAGAATGTAATAGGTGAAGTAAATTTGAAGAAACATACATGTTCTCACAATAGCCTTGAATTTTATATTGCTTTATCTCGAGTTCGACTCCATAGTCACAGTAAGCTCATTGGCAACTCAGACATCAAAGTGGCATCCTTACAGTGTCAGAAAAAGAAAATTTTTTCTCTGAAAAAGTACTGTAGCTTACTAAGAAGCTCATATATATACATATTTATGTAAATATATATATTTTCCAAATTTCTAATTTACATTTTATATTGAAGACTGTATTAAACAAGGACTTTCTCTGTAAGAATTCATTCTTATAAAATCACTTAGAATACTACAGCAAATACTTACCTGGAAAATACTTGACAAATCAAATTAAAATAAGTTCAAGTCAAGTCCAAATTCACAATTTTTCTGCAGTTCTTTCAGACTGGAGTGTAAAATTCATATGCAGGAATGGACTTGCTGTCCCTTGGATTGGAAAGTGTTGGTATCTGATTGAAGAGGCTCTGAATGACAAGCTGAACACATCCCTGTGTGTCTGGGCTGCATTCCAGTTTTTGACAATATAAGGGCTGTTCACTTAAGCTAGCAATACCTCCACAGAATGTGTAACTGGACTGTTTAAAAAACATCCCATATATGGTTCTGACACATATTCCTGCCTCTTGAATCCTTTGCTATTACCTCCTTAAGTCCAACTCCATTACCTCCTTAAACCTCTGATTCAATTTCCTTTTTTATTATCATACTTACGATTATGAAGCAGTGACAGGCATATCTCCAAATATTCAGAGGTCAGCCTCAGTTCAAATAAGCATCCAAAAGGGTAGATATTAATCTGAAGGAGCTAGGTACACATTTAAGGCAGTTTTGTAACCCATTCTCCTTACACCTATCATGTTCTTGATAGTAATAAATTTCAAGGCTTAAAACCAAATTGCAGAGGCTTACTTTTAGGACATAACAGTCAAAGTAGAAACTAAAAATCCAGGTCACCTTGCATAGAAAATGTGGTGAGTGGTTTTTTTTTTTCCCTTCTTTCTTGCTTCCACTCATTCTTGGACTAAACTATTCTGGAATATTTGTTGAAGTCTTCCTGCTGATATGAAACTATGAGAAGCAAAGCTAAATAAATAGTTTTATTACTGTAGCGCAAAAGACATAAAGTAGCATAAAGAAGAATATATAGCCATGTCTTGAAAAGTAATTACAAGTATTTAAAATTGCCTGAAAGACTGAGAAACTCTCTTTGAGAACCAAACATTGGAAATGTTTTAGAATGTTTTTTTCCTTGTCATAAATGACAAGAAAAAAACCAAAGACATAAAATGAAAAAAAAAATCAACAGAAAATCTTCAAGCAGACTGATACAGGCCAGATAAATTTAAAAAAATTTTGGAAGTTCTGCAGGAAATTTACTTCTAAATCAACAGATAACTTTAATAATGTTTCTCCTGCAGTATTTATTTTGGGATGTGTTTTGTAGGTACCCTGCTGCTAGTATAAATGTAGGAACTGTAGTTTTCATGTGTATTTTCACTGAAATTAATTCCTAAATTTTTGTGAAGGCCATTTAACAAATGTGGAATGTTTGTTTTGGCATGTAAGAATTTCTAAGTTCCTTTTAGGAAAGGAATCTTTAGGACAGATCTTTTACAAAGCCCCTATGGAGAATGTGCTGTAAGTCAGGGTACGATTTTTAAGTGGCCTTTTTTCATTGCCCTGCTGCTAATAATGCATGTGACCATGTTCTTTGGAAAAGCAGTCTGCCTAAAGGGCTTTACCCGTCTCTGCTTTCTCTGATAGTGACCTGAAGCAGAAAGTTCACCACAGACTGGTGTGATGAAGCAAAGGGAGATCAGTTTTCAGCCCCTCTTGTAATTATATTAGTTCAGGAACTGTAAGCAGTTCCCAGGAGATCAGCTCTTGCTTCATCAGTGTTCTTATCTAACTCATCTTGAAACTGTGTGGAATGAGATGACAGAGGCAGCCTTGTGTGGGTGCAACATTCACTGCATCTATTACTTAGGTACCACTACCTTCCCTCATCACTGCTTTTGCTTGAAGCCACAGGCTCTTCTCTCACATGGAAACCCTTTCACCAATGTGCATTCCTTAACACACCTCCTCTGCTTCATAAAAATGTGCAACTTCAAACACTCAGTTTTCTTCCCATCTTTTCAGCACAGGAGCCCAACTCTATGAATAAGGTGATGTTCTTGGTGAATTGGGCTCAGTCAAGGTTTATTGAACTCTGCTTCTGTCTGCATGTTCGCTGTGAGGTGATGCAGTGTACCATGCGTTTGAGCACAAGGGGATGCCTTGCACGGCCCAGCAGCTCAGCCAGCGAGCTGTTTGTGTCCTATTGCTGTAAGACAGGAGTAGGGCTCAGCCCTCTGCCAGTGACATAGGGAAGGCTTGGAGGAAAAAGTTTTGACATAGCCTCACATGAAATCTCTTAAAAATTGGTGTCAGGAACAAAAGGCATTATCAGCCATAGCTCTGCACTCCCACATCTCATGCACACATGTACACACACATGCACACCATCTAAGCTCTTCAAATGTAAGAGGGGGCAGGGCTATAGGCTATACAGCTGATCAGAACAATTTTGCACAATAATTTTGGACGCATGAATAAAAATGTTGTTGTGTGCAGCAGTTTGCATGGAAGTGTATATACAGGTTGTCTTCTGTGATTTCCAGCTCTGGAACAGGAATTCATACTTTTATTTTACTCAGTTTGTTGAATACTTTGAAGGGGGTGAGTGAGAGCAGCAAGAAAGAGGTTTTAACAGACAAAAATGAAACAATTTAATTCCAGTCTTTGTTCTCAAGGTCTTCCTTCGAAGTTACCTAATAAAACTCAACTACATTCTTCTCCTTAACATGGTTAATGCAGCTGTCAGGTTGGAGAGGGAAGGAGCTAGTATAATTGAAGATTTAATTTTGAACTGTATTGTAAACTAGCTTTTATAAAACCCAAAAACAGTAAAGTGGTTCATTACATTTTAGAATGTCTGATGTAAATAAGGTCTCTCAGTGTGTGTGATCAATCTTTCCAAGGGCCAAAATATTTTGCTGTTCCCAAGCTTGATTTGCTTGTTCAGGCTGAATAAACTCAGCTCATATGCATTTAGAAACTGACTTGAATTTTAATTTTATTCTAATGTCTAATTGTGCCTGCTGTGGTTGCCTCTAATTCCTACAAAGTAGCCCCTCAGCTTTTGCAGAAAGGCTCTAGAGATTTTATAAGGTTATTGACCAAATCAGAAATGTGCAATCAAGTAAGGCAGAGTTACTTTACCCAGTGTATGAGAGACAGAATTTATTCTATTGCCAGTTATCCAGGGAGGAGGAAAAGCAAACTTTGCTGCAGAAAACAGGCACTTTCTAAGTTTTAGCCCCTTTGTTTGACCATAATTATTTACAATCCGCATTGTTCAACTTCCACGGTCACTTACTGCTTCCTTCACAACTTCAAGGAGAAAGGAGGCATCTTGATGTGTAAAGGAGACATCTTGATGTGTAAAGGAGAAGTCCCAAGGACATGACTACTATTTTAAAATTGTAACATTTTATGTATGATATGAGAGAATTTTTCAGTGGTACCGAAAACCTAACTCTGTCTGTGATCCATTTATTTTGTCTGTGCACATTAGTCAGTTTCTCTCTTGTCTTGCTCACAAAAAAAAACAAACAAAAAAAAACCACCACAAAAAAACCCCCACCCTATTTTTAGAAAAATAGTGTAGGAAGACTGTTGACCAGAGGTTCGACTGACGTCAGTGTGAGCTCAATGCATGGAGCCCTTAATTTTTTTTCTTCTTCCTACCTAGATTAAGAATAAAAGCAATGTCAGAGCCACTTTCAAAGTCATGGCTGAGTTATACACGTTTGCTCCTGGCATCCAAGAAAAAACAATTTCCAAAGTTTGAGTGTTGAGTATGAAGCAGAGCTGACAGAACAGTTTGTCAGTGGAGAACATTATATAGAGCTATTTTAAGATTGTCCTCGACCTTTCCACCTCTTTTAAAGCCTTGTGAGAGAGATTTAAACTTCTCTTTTGCCAGTGGCCTACTGTCAGTTCCATATTTGTGTTTGTTCTCTCCATGCTATGGATGTAAGAGCACATTATGGGGAGATCTTCCAAATCCTCTTTTACACTCTTGTCTGAGAAAGAGCCCTCAGATTCAGCCAGGTCAACCTTGGCACTTAAAGTTCAGAGAGATACTTTTCTTTCCTTGATCTCCTCTTCAGCCAACTTTTTATAGTTCGTAGATTGAAAACTGACCTGAAGATAGTGAAGGTTTTATTATTAGCACTGATGAGTCAAAAGTTTTCAATTCTTTTTATATGGGAATTTTCTACTGAGATACCTATGTGTATATATCTATCTATATATGTATGTATCTATGCAAATACTTATGCTGATGAATTACTTGTAAGGCTAAGTTTTTAGATTGTTTGTAAGCAGATTTCTCATGTAAAAAATGCTCTACCAGTAGGAATTGTGTCCAATGACAAAGTGCTATGAAAAGTGCTATTTTCAGCTTCATAAATACTGATGGTACTTTCACATGCCAACTTTTTCAGTGCCCACCCTCTCGTGTATAATGCCCCAAAAGTAGGTACTACTGCAAAGGCACTGTTCATTGCTGAAAAATCATTTATTATATATTGAAGAATCCAACAGAACTCCTGATCTTTAGCCATAAGTGTAAAATGTAGAAATGGAGCAAGAACTAAGTTACTATAGGGAGTTTTAGTCTTTGATTTATTTTCTCTTATTCTTAGCTCAGCATCCTCATTTGAAAAGGAACATAAAAAAGTTAGTTAAATCCACATTGTATTCACAAAGAATAAACAGCCCACAAATGGGTTCGTGTAGCTGTTGATACTCACATTTGGCTCCTTTGGAGGTGTTATTGTTTATGTTTTTGTGTCAAAAATAATGTAATATGTGAAGGAACAGCTTTTATTTTGTGTCCAAGTGGGGTGTCATTTAATGAAAAGGCAGAAAATAAGAGCACAGCTGATTTGAAGCAATTTGGAAGGAGTTTCACAAAATCATTAAGGGTGAAATAGCACCTTCTTGTAAAATATGCCTTTAATATTTACTACTGTAACACTGTAACATTTGCTCTCTTGTAGTCTAAACTCAGTAAATAGTGATCATTGAAAATAGTTTTGGGTATTTGTTAACAAGTTTATGGTGACTGTACCTATCCATCAAGTATTCTTATTCAAAATATCACTACTAACAATTCTAAGTGCTAACTGAAAATAACTTTTTTTTCTTTATCCCTCTTTTGAAGACAAAGACAGGGGTTTGTTTGCTGCAGGATGGTAACCAGGAGCCTTTCAAAGTGCGACTGCACTTAGCCAAAGATATTTTGATGATCCAGGAGCAGGATGTGATCTGTGTGTCTGGTGAGCCTTTCTATTCTGGTGTAAGTAGTTTTTATTTCTTCTTTGAGATGTTCTTTACAAAGAAACAGAGCTGTGTATATGTGTGTGTGCGGGTGCATACACACATCTGTATGCATTTGCTCCCATGGATTGGTATTTTGTTTTACACTGTTAACACAATGCTTCTTTTGTGATATCCCATCTAAGAAACACTAATAAGGTAATAAGGTCTATGCATGACTGCAGCACTGTTTCTCTTCTCTCACCTCTGGGTATTGGAGCCAATGGATGTGGGAGGAATGCCACAAACAGTGGTGTTTGCAGGGAGTGCAGGGACCTCAATGTACTTATGTATCTGAGTATTGTCTGTGGAGTTGATAAGATAATTATGTCAAGGCTTTGCTGGTAGAGGAGTTACCTTTTATCCTCTGTTGCTTGGGTTTCTTCCTGTGGTAGCCCAGCACTAGACTTCAGGAATGCTGTGAGAGTCACTAGCTTTAACAGCATATCATGTTAACAGACATGGAACAGTGGGATAATACAATTTAACTGTTTTACATGATGTGTCAGATTGCTTATTTAAGCATCATTTTGTGCAGGAGAAACTACAATTATTTGGAAAATATGTAACATTTTATTTAGAATAATGCTGTAGGGTTTAGAGCTATTGTAATGCGAAGTTTTTATTTAATATTAGAAGATAGGTACAAAAATAATAGAAAAATAGCATTAATTTCGATAGACATTTTTATAGATACTGTAATTAACTTTGTAGAGATATTTTTAAGATTTATGTGAAACTATCATAAACATTTTGGTCTCCCTTTGAGCTAAATAAAATACTCATTGAATTTCATGTTAAATCTTGTGAGGTGTAGTAGTGTGATATCTGTTCATACAAATGTTTAGTTAATGCTATTATGTCTATTTCATTATTTAATTACTGCTGTTGCCACACACTTGCATCTCTAAATACAAGCACAATAAAAAGATAAAAAGCACAAATGAAAAATAATTGGTAGAATGTTAACAGTGCAAAGAGTGTGAAAAATCAATGAAAAAATGTATCAAATTATCCTTCTCATTATTATGAGTATCTCAAGGTGAATTCTTCAGAGCTTTTCTTTGATACAAGACGAGAACATTGCTTACAGTCTCCATAGAGTCTGAGTTTATTTGCTTGACAAATCTGACATTAGCTCCTGACTGTTTCATGCTGAACAAATGCAGTTTGCTGATACAGGTCTGTATCCTTTATGTGGATTATGGATGCTCCTTTTAACAATCAGGCTCTCCTGTTCCTCAATAGACAGGACATCCAGCAGCCAGGCTAAAAAGCAGTTATGAGTTCAAGCTAAAGCTGTAGTTGTTCAATTAGCAACATACACTGTGGCACCATTATTCCACCAACACCATTCTGACTTTATTTATTAAAAGATTTTATCACTCAGAAATATGACTTTCATTAATCTGCTGTAATATCTGTAATATCCTGCTGAACTTGTTATTTAAATGTCTTCATGGAACGCATATTAATTTTTTTCCCTTTTCACAAAAAGGCTTTCTCTTACAGTATTTCTCTCTTTAGTTTTGCAAAGGCTCTGTGGAAAACAGATTATTTGCTTCCCCAGTTAAACTCCCCCATGTTATTTGCATATTGATGTATAACTCATTAACTGATTGATATTAGTGTGTTGCTGCAGAGTTCCTTTTTCCTGGAAGTGTTATTGATAGAGTAGTGACATTTGAGCACTTTACTCTGATTTCCTTTGGGATTAAGACTAGGACTTTTAGCAGTAGGTTCATTCCAGCTAAGGATGATTGGCATTTCAGTTAACTGTCCTTTTGTCACAGGTAATTTGAATAATCTGGAATCATGTACCTTGATTATATACTGTAATCACAAAAGTTCCACAGGCTTCCTTTTTTTTTTCTATTTTTCCTCAGTTTTATTCCTGATTTATTAGGTTTAATTTGTTTGTTTACTAATTTTTCCTATGTTTTACTTTGCTTGTTTGATTTTGTTCTTTTCTTTCTGTCATTCTAGATAACTGCCTGCATTTATCTTTCTTTTACCTGAATTCTACAAAGCAAGGGTTTTTATTAGCAACTGACACTGAATGCCTCAGAGAATAAACTCTTTAAGCATAAAAATAAAATTTGTAACTGCGGAACAATAGTATTGTTACATTTTACAGACAGGTAGCTACAGTGAAGGTAATTTTTAATCTGTTTAAATAAATAATCTTTAAATAATTTGATTATAAGGTTTTACTTTATCATTGCTGCGCTGGTATGGAACGAAAGGCTATTATTGTGTTTCTAGTTCAGAACAGTGTCTCTTCTGTTTGTTGAGTCTGAATCAATTTGCATGCTCCTCTGTGTAGGACAGTCTTTAAACAGGCACTTAACGTTCCAGCAGCATCCAGATCTGCATCCTGTGGAATAATCTAAATAAAATCAATGGCTCCTTAGGAATGAAGTGCTGTTTAATGTGAGTGTATGGGATAAACACCTAGTTCTTAATTTGGAACGCTTCCTTTTGGTGTTAGACAGTTCTAGTTTCCAAAACTAAAGAGCTGCAAAGAAACGTTGTTTCTTCTTTTTTTGTATACAGTTTGAAGTAAGAAAATAAAAAGCATAAAAGATTATAAGCAAAATAAATTGCTTATAAAATCTTTTTTTAAAAAAAGAATGCATCTGTTTCTTTAGTGGGCTGAAAAAAAAAGCATTAATGAGGGTCCTGCAGCAATTGTACCTATAGCAATTCCTATAATTTTTTTTTTAAAAAAGAATGCATCTATTTCTTTAGTGGGCTGAAAAAAAAAAAAACCATTAATGAGGGTCCTGCAGCAATTGTACCTATAGCAATTCCTATAGCATCAACCATCATTCAAATGATCATGGAGTACATCTAAATTTGAACATCAGTTTCATCAATAAGTATTAAATATATTTTTTTGTGTGCCATAAGAAAGTCTTGCTTTTCAAGAGAAAGAAGGTTCAGCAGGTTCAGCATTATGCTGCTAGCAGATAGCCAATGTAGATTTGAGCTCCAGTGCAAATGACCAAGAGTGGGATGAGAACATATTGTGAAACTCAAAGTGTGCAAGGCAGTGTTGTTACTCATCCAAATTAAATCCTTGCTTGCAGAGAGGTTTTATGTTATGGGAAGTGTATGCCTCAGTTGGAGTGGTTGTGTTGAAAGATAAGACTGCTGTCCCTCAGGTCAGGTACGCCTTTTTCTCCCAGAGCAGTTACAAAATGTCCCAAAAAGAGTTGAATTAAACCATGTAGGAACTTCATCACTATTTGTGGCAGAATTGTAGAATATATATTTATATATTCTTTTAAGCATATTTCTTTAATTACTTGACATTATGCTCACAAGAGTTTGCTGTATTGTGTTCTGTATGACAATGTGCAGTGGGGCAACTCCCACTCTTTTTAGACATACATTTAAACAGCCTGGACTAACCAGGATAGCCTAATGCTGAACTTGGTGAAAATTATTATGAGAGAGGAGATAGCTAAGGTATGGCATATGTGAAGTAGATTTGTTCCTAGGAAAGATTTTAATATTTGCCTTTCCAGAATCAATATTTTTATTTTAGAGTTAATCCTCGTAGTTTCTATTACCTTTCATGAACATCTGAAATTCAAGGAAAAGGATTATTGCACTATATCAAGATAAGCAGTTTATCTGTTTGGGAAGCTGTGGAGTTTTGCTTCTTTTCTTTAATAAATTTTGTTCATTAATTGTACTCAGAATTTTCTATGCATGGAGTCTATGTGCATGTGAGATCCATAAATCAAGGATATGACAATGAACCATCTGACAGAATGGTGGATTTGATTCAGCTACCCTTTTTTTCTAAAATAATCAAAATAAACTGCAAGCAGCTGGTAAATTGTTAGCTGCCAGGATAGTTTGCATTTTTACAAAATTTTCTTAAATATCCTTTTAAAGGGTCATAGACTTTACAAAATACTGCTAACTCACCTGATGATAACATACAGATGAGTCACATCTCTTTCAAGTAATTTATTTCTATGCTGCTGTGTAGTAAATGCATTAATTAATTAAACATTAAGAAGTTCTTTCAGTGGTTTGATTTTTTAATTAAGGATCTTGGGGGAAAATTTGTGTGAAGGTCAATCATAACTCAATATTAATAAAAAGAGAATGAATGGGGTTTTTTTGTGAATTAATAGAGCGACAGCTCTCAGAATAGCATGGCATTTGTCCAAACATTTAACTGAGATTGATACAATTGTATCTAAATGTAGCTTATGGACTGTAATTGGTTTTGTGATTAAAAAAAACTATCAATAAACACCTTTACTAAGGCCAGGATACAACACTATCTCAAAGTGTTGCACTGCAGCCAGGTCTGTTTTCTGATACTGTTAACCACACTGTAATTTTTTTTTTATTGTAAGCATGAAAAAAAAGGATATGTTTCACTTTTAGGGTTGTCTGTATGCTATTGTGAAATCAAGTGCTGAAAGATTCATAAATATATATATAAAGTGTTAAAGAAAATAGTTGTTAGAGATTTTCTAATTTTTTTAGTTTTTTATAAAATAGTCTTTTAAATTAAAAACTTTACACAATAGAATTTTTTCTTGATTGTTTAAATCTCAATAATGAAGTTATTAATTTTTAAGAATGAAATTAAATTCAGAACACATCACATAGGGATGACATGCCTGGGAAGTCACATGAAGTTATTACATTTTCCTTACTTGAATATTTAATTTTTTTTGAGATTTCCTGAGACTTAATTTTGTATCTGTTATATTGCATCATTGTCTTTTGAAAATTATGAATTTTCTTGTCATATATTTTAGTCTTGGTAAAAAAGATTCAATTAACTTTAGCAATTTTAATTAATAGAAATTGAAGAAAAAAATTAAACTGGTAAAAATGGAAAAAAAAGCTTAAAATGGTAAATTATAATTTTGACTTATTTTCTCCATTGTCTTTATTTACAATTTTGATTCTGATGTGTGATTGAATATTATAAACAATGCCAAA